TCCAACTCCTAATATTCCGTGATTCTGTGACAAGCCCAGCATGCACCTCTATTGCTGCTCTCCTGCACTGGGTTCCACATGAATGCTGCTATCTGGTTCCTGCTGTTGTTCTAATAATGTCTGGGTGATTTGGTCCACATGGAATGGACTTGTCCTGTCATGGTTAATTACTAGAAGGATGTTCACCAGTTAATGAAGAGATAACAGCTTCTCTTAGTTTAAGGAAGACTAATGACACTATTTTGTATTCAGCTGCAGCAGAAAGTTGTATTGGCAGTGGCAGGACATTCACGCATCTTTTGTTACTGATGATTACATCAGTGGCCAAAGGTCCATGAAAGAAGCTACATCATGTAAATGTGAAATATATCCACACAGAAAAATGGATTTAAAGGGTTTTTTTCTGTATCATCTGGAAATCTGTTATCCTGATCTGAAGGACTGAAAAATCCACAGCCCTAAAAGCCCAATCTGGCTTATCCTGATTTGAAAAACTGACAACTGTCATCTCTGGATTATGGAACATTTTTTCAATGCACATAGCAAGAGCATTGACTGACGATTCTCCTCATCCTCTTTCAACTTATACTGTAACTTCATGTGATACTAAACACCATGTCTGGAGAATCAAGGAGTTACATGCAGTATTATTTGACATTTATCATATAACCTGCTGTTTGAAAACAGCTGTCTGACTGCTGATATAATCAAAGGGGGATAGGAAGGGAGAAGTCAACAAGAACAGAGACAAGGCACGTCATGTCAGCTGTGTGCTGCTTCTGCCCATGCTCACGCTTTTAAAAGCAAGGTGTGTTACTCCTCCCTCACCACTGATGAGATATCACAGCTCACATAGTGTTTAACCTATCACACTAGGACACCTGGAGGGTTTTCACATGGCAGGTGAGAGACGGTGGCTTGCTGCCTAGCATCATTTCTAGTGTGTCAGCTTCCTAAGAAGCTGGGGTAAGCATCTCCAAAGATCTTCAAACATCAATCATTCATCCACCACCTGTGAAGTAGACACCTCTTTGCCTTCATTCATGTGAGCACAGTTCACCCGTCCCAAGAGGGACAGGGGTCAAAGAGGGTCCCACACTTCTCACATTGTTAGTTTTATAGGAAGAGGACTTAACTTTTGGGAAGGCAGATGAGTGAGAGGGCTATCAGCAGATTTATAGTAAAATCCAGGTGGACTAAGATGGGCCTTTACAGACAAAGAAAAGGGTTATCAGAGCTGAGAGGAACTTCTGAAGAATCACAGGGTGTTGCTAAAGAGTAATAGAATTAATTCTTTTACTATATTTCCTCTGCAACTTTTCAGGTGCAGGCAGAAACAGAACTTTGGAAGACAGAAGCTCTTTGGAGTCACTTGAATCAGAGTGAAGAGGGAAAAAGGACAGGTAAATGAAACACAACTGATCCCAGGAGTCCAGGATACAAACTGGAGTGACGATACACATAAATAAATACAGATAGAATTTGGAATAGACAGAGTCAGGGCTCACATAAGCATCACAATAGCAGATTTCATAGTTCCTAGGATAGGTTGCTCTTTTTCAAAAAAATTACTTTGTCCACAGCCTCTGCTGTAGGTCAAGGAAGAAAAACTACCTCTCAAAGCCCTGACTAGGCAGTTCTAATCTGGAAGGCAAAGATCAAAACAAAGAACTGAAATAAAGGAGAAGTGGAGACAAGAAAATAACACTACATTTTCTTTTGGCTTTATGCTTGGAACAACCTGCCTGAGCTCTAACCTTTCTCACCACACAGCCTAAATACAGAGCAGTTGGTCTGCTGGAAGGTGATGGACATGCACATCCTTCACCTAGGAGAAATGAGTGAGACCTCCTGGGTGGCTGATGAGGGAGACAGCACTCTCCATTGCTGTTATGTATAAAATCACTAATGACTTTTGTAAAGATTGCCTGAGGAGAAAAGGCTTTTTGGCACAACTAGGATACAAATACTTAAATACCTAGGCACAGAAAGCTCTCCTTGGTCTGGTTTGTTGGGGTTGCATCTCATTGTCACAACAGTTGCACGGCCATTTTCACAGGAGGTTGTCACTGTTGAGGACCTAATGTCAAACAAGAGGAGAAATGTAATAGACCTCCAATGCAGTAAATACAAGTTGCAGTTTTGTATGTCCATTCATGCAACTGAAATACTAAAGAAATACTCTTTACCACAGTGCTTTTGCCTTTGTCAGCTGGAAGAGAAAAAAGGAGCAAAAGAAGCAGCATTTAAATCTCAAAGTGCTCTGAGATGCTATTCAGGGTACTACTCTGTATTTTTACCTGGTTTGAATTCTGACGAGCCAAAGAATAAATCTGCCCAAAAAACAGAATAGAGTGTTCAAAAAAGAGAATCACAGGTGGTGTGGTTGGTGTGTTACTTCTGTTGGTTCAGTTTGCAGAAGCAGATACATAATTTAAGTGCTTACATATCTATCAGGTGTTGATATCTAAAGTGCTATAAACAGTTAAGATCTATCACTAAAGCCAACACGACGTATAGAGGCAATCAGCAGAAGAAATATAAGTATGTGTCTGAAGACAAGCTGAATAGCCCCATGGGCTCCAGAGTACCAGTTCTACCCAGCATGTAGGCAACTTAATTGAGGTGATCTTAGAGCTAATTCTTATTCAAGCTGAGGTATTCTGTTTATGGAGGAAAGTGGAGACTAGGAAAAGCACACTAGTAACTGTGCAGGTTGGAACAATTAGTTTTAATCTCAGTTAGTTCATTTTTGTAACATCAAAGTAAATACCAATGAATATGAAAGAAAACATACAATGGGAAGCGGACATATCAAATTATGGGAAGGAACAGGACACTGGAAGTGGCACCTGGAAGAATCCAAGCTCTGGTATCACTCTCTATAGATCAAGTGTAATTTAGATTTGAGTAAATAGTGTTTTCTGATTTCATGAGAAGTTCTTCAACATACCAATCAATATCAGTCAGATAGGTGGATTAAAGACCTCCCCTCACAACTTCTGTTTATTTTAAACAAATGAAGAACTTTGACATACCAATAAACAGTATTTTTTACCTACTTGTAAAAGAAATGCACATCAGGTGTTTTGCTTGGAGAGGGAGGAAACATATCTGTCTTGATGCTGATATTGTCCAGCATTGTTTCAACAGTAGCTCCTAAAATTTGAGAAGAAAAAGAAAAGAAAAGGAACCAGGTAAGAATGGATTTCTGAGGGGTTCACATATAATATTTTCTCAGTCTACAAAGTATGGTTCTCTCTTACTAGCATTTAATGACTTTACTATACATTATACGCTTTCATAAAATAATTTGGACTGGGAAAGAACCTTTGAAGATACCTGATCCAATTGGCTGTTCAAAGCATATGTCTTGAATGTAAAGCCCTAAAACATCATAACCATGTAACACCCTGAGCAATCTGCAGTATTGTGGGAGAAAAACTCAAAGACGCAACGACAAAATTCAGAAGGATTATGGAGTCATAGGCAAGCCTTGATCACACATTTTGGAACAAATGACAGTCTGGTGTGTGAAACAACACAGGTTACACAGGTTTGCATGTATTTTGAAGAAGAGCTGAAAAAAAGCAACCAAAGCAACCATTCAAGCAACCAAAGTTCTCAGACATCCTTCCAACCCATGGTCCAAATAAGACAGAAAATATTGGTGCTGCACTGCAACATCTCAGAAGAGGGAGCTGTACAAATGGGACAGGCTGCATCCTTCCAGTGAGGTGAAAAATTGCTAGAACAATAAGAAAAAAAAATTATGGCAGTCAGCAACTTGTGTGAAGATGGGAAAGGCTGAAGAAAATAAGTTTTTCACTTGTTCTTGCAACAGTTCAGACAGCCTAGCTGAGTTCTCAGGACTTTAACTTGACTTTGGCTTGACTGGTATTTCAACAGGGAGGACGATTCGCAAAGCTGGAAAATCCGTATCTGCTTGTAACCCTTTTAGGTAAATACAGTAGATAACAAAGTTGAGAGTTTGCACTAGAAGCTACTACCTGGTGCAGGACATGTCAGAGCCTGGGATGGTGAAAGCAAATGGATCAATGTAGTCGGTAACATTCTCCAGGAGGGCTTGCAGGTGAGGGATGGCTACAGAGCATCACATCAGCACAGAGAGCAAAAAGAGCTGTGCCACAGCAGCCATCAGGAGCACGTGCAGAAAGGTGTCAGGTTATTGTGGAGGAACCTCTGTTCTGAGAACAAATGCTGGCATCACCAAGGATGATCATTTCCTCTCATTACAGGCATTGCATCTAACACAGGGTAACTTAAATTTGGATTGCAACACAATGGATAGAGATGAGTTATTCACTAGACTGGAAGATGATAGCTTCTAGGAACCTTATTTTATCCAACAGAAGCAATGAGAGAATACTGCTATTCAATATGCAGTACTGTAGAGATGGTATCTCAAAGTGCAGCTTCTCAAAAATAAGAATACTAGAAGCAAAATCAAGCGTGAAAAAACAGTAAATCATTCTTTAGAAGGTATTAATTAGATAGCTAAAAAGCCACAATGACTCTCTCAAGAATGACAATAGCTTTGACTGAAAGTCCACCTTGAATCAGAACAGCAGTAGAGGACCAATTAAAATAAAAACATTGGCACAAGCTTAATGGAGGGGGAATAGAGACTCAAATAAAATCAAAAGTTATGAGCTACAGAAAAATTATAATGAACACTAAAGACTTCAGGGAAAAGTCTGTGTTTGGCAGCACTGAGAAATTATAAGTTTGGTGTTTTTTTAGAAATACTAGGAATAAAAATACGTATTATGGATGTGAAAGGCAAACTTCAATCATTTTAAAATGTAACAATTGTTACAGAGGAAAAGCAGCAGAAGAGCTTGGTAACTTTTCTCTGTATTTGGAAAAAATCAAGACTATCTCCTGGCTTTCCAAGAAAATGACTGAACACCTCATTCCTTCAGTGGCAGGAGAGGATATTGGCATCCACTTGGCATGAATGCTTGTAAACTGGCAAACCCATACCCAGGAGTGACCTTGAATAGAGCTTTTAATGACAGGGAAATGTCAGAAGACTGATGGAGAGGGGAAATGGTGATCCAAATTAAAATGTGGCTAACATGATGAGGCAAAATAACAGAAATGTTAAGTGGAAGATGGGTTTCAGTTAACGGATGGATACATAATGAGTGCCAGTCAACATGAATTTATGGTGAACCACTCCTGTTGAACAAATCTGATTTCATTCCTTGCATGCTGATTAATTTGGTTGCTAAAGAAAATTATATAAATTTATCAAGTATTTCACTAATTATCACATAAGATTCTAATTAAAAAGTTAGCAGTGTGATATCAATTAAGAGCACACTCTAGACTAAAAATTATTTAATTTATAAAATTATCTAGCCATGGGAAACTGTCATAAAATGTGATATGTCTCCAGGCTTCTCTAGGCATTGATATTGGACTCTCAAAATGCAAGATTATCATCAAGGATCTGCAAGTAACTATATAATCACTGTTGGTAAAGTGTGTAGATGAGACAAAGAATAAGAACAACAGGAATAAAATACAGAGCAACTTGGTTCACTTGGTAAGCTGGTCCCAATCAAACTAAACATATTTTAGGGCAGACAAGTGCAGCAAGGGATGAAGGCCAGTCCTAAAGATGAGAGATTTTCCCTTGGAAACTGTAACTCTGAAAAAGATCTAGAGTGGACATCAGATCCAAGAAGCCATCATGAAATTCTATGAGTCTAGAGGAAGAAGGACTCAAGGATTCCATCTTTGCATGTAAATATAAATATGGAAGTGATTTCAATTGCCATTATAGTGAATTAAATGCTAGAATGCTATTCCATTCTGATGCACTTGCTTTAAGAAAGTGTAATAACAAGTTACAAAGGCTGCAGAAAAATGCTCAAAAATATCCAGATGCTCGACAGAAATACATGATAGAAAGAGACTTAGAACTTGGTCTACTTAGTTTATCAGAAGAGCAGACTGGGGAGGGTGGGATTCCAGTACACAAAATACTTTTCCAGGGAAGAAAATGTGGGTGTGAAATGAAGAAAGAATAACAAGAAGCAAGAGCTGAAAACTGAGGCCAGGCAAATTCAAGCAGGAAACAAGTCTGCTTTAAAACAAAATACAGAGATGATGTTTGACCAGTGGAAAAAAATACCAATGACTGTGGCAAAGCTTTTCTTTTTGGGAGTCTGAAAAGTCCAGGTTGAACGCTGTTCCAAAGATGTGCTTTTGTCAAACAAGAGTTTCTGGGCTCAGTGCCAGACAGAAAGCACAAACACTCATTGCCTGTAATGGATAGGTGAGCAGAGTAAATGACTTCATTGTCTACTCTGGGCGCAGACTCTGGGAACTTGTGAGCCGGAGCAATGCAACACTTAATGATGTGCACGGTCCTGTGCTGCCCTAAGCCTTCTCCTTCCTCGCCTAATTATGTCCCTGTACCAGCTTCTTCTTCTGAAACTGCCCAAGTGAAGACTTGGCATGGGCAGAAACACTTGGACTAATGTGACTACTACAGCGATTGGTCTTGCCCTGCATGAGGTGGGTAGGAAACTTGAAAGAAAACCAGTGGTTTTGTGCTTAAATTCTATGCACCGTGGGACCCACCAGACTGAACACAGGGAAGAATGAGTAATGGGCATGGAAAACAAAGAATGAAGGGAGCCCTTACTCTTCTTCTCCAGCCATCAGCTGTACCGAAACAGCAGCAAAAAGCAATGGCATCTGTCCACATCTGCTTCACAGCTCAGGAACAAAGTGGGACTGAAACTCGGGCTGCCCCTTCACTCTTCCCCCAAGGTAATGCAGCACTGCTGAGCTGAGAAGGATTTATTCTGCAGCCCTAAATACATGAGTGAGCATCCATGATAACAACATGCAGAAGACAAACCATGTACCTAAGAACCTGTCAGCAAGGCTGTTGGACTGCAGGGCCAGGGCTGTTCGGAAACCCTTGCTGTCTGACGGGATGATGGTGGACTGACAGACAAAAGCTCCCACAAAGTTGGAAAAATCTTCTGATTCTGCAACCATGTCCTTCAGAGTAACATCTGTGATATTGTCAGTGCAAATAGCCATCTTCTTCCCCTGTGGTCAATTAGGAAAAAAAGGGAAAGCTGTTGGTTGTTGATAAGACATGAAAAAGTTCGGGAAAGGAGAGATTGCTAACTTCCTGATTGCAAACTGGATGAGTTTCATCACCGCACCTTAGAAACAACTTGATGTTTCTATCATGAGAGGGACAAATTGCAACAACAAACTGCCATTGTGAAAGCTCCGATTAAAGCCTTGTACAGACCCAGAAACAAGGTGTCACCTCTGGTATGTGTCTTATCAGAAACCTGTGCTACGAAGCACTCTGCTTTGTTTATCTTGACAGCACAGTGTTTACTTGCAGAGCATAATAAAATGGCTTGCAAAGGAAAACCATATCTTCCTTGCCTTTAAATACTATACTGTAGAATAACTCTGTATTTGGGATTTAACCCAGATAAAATATTTCCAAAGCACAAATAAATAAAATCCCTAATAGCCTCCATGGTTGCATTAATGTCACATGTCAAGACCAATGCTGGAATCCCAGAGCAACAGCAACAAAAGGCAAATCAGCAGACTCGGTTGTCCTGTCAAAATGTCAAGCACTCGGGACCAAATCATGTGGTTGGTAGTACTGTTGTACCATCATAACAAAATGACGAACCAATCCACAGGGGAGTGAGCATCTCTGTACCTTTGTGGATCTAGTTGTCAGCAGGTGGTACTTAAACACTCATTTAAGCTTAAAAGTATGCAAAACACTGTAAAGAAATGTGACGACTCATTTGTCTCAATTCATGCAAACCCTCTGGCACATGGGAAAGAGACTTCAGAACTTTAAGAGGCTGAACTTTAATGTAAAATACATGCACTGGCATCTTCAGTTTATGTATGTGACAACATGCTCCGGTACAGTCTAAGTCCCAGACCGATATCTTGAGTCTGGGGCAGAGACTGTTTGCACTCATGGACAAAAGTCAATTTTTCACCACTTTAAAAGGCTGCAATCGAAGTCATCAATGGGCATCTTGGCCACTGGCAGAGAGCAGGGTGACGTGGTTGACAGCAACATCTCCAGTCAAGTCACAAGGGAAACATATGGAAAGAGGCTGCCAACTGAAGGACTCAGACTCTTCACTTGAGTTCCTTGGTGCAGCTCAAAAAGGTCAGAGTTGTGACCCAAGTGACTTGAAGGCACAAAGATAGGGATGTGACAGGGTTTTTCTCCTGACCATTACTTATGCCTAAAATAGGCATAATCTTTGCTCTGGAAAATTACTCACACAAAATTCCTCTTGCACTGCTGAGCAAGATCCAGAGGAAAGTGTTTGCAGGGTGTCAGTGACAGCTCAGCTGTAGGTGAGTCCCTGTCCTGTCTCAGTGTGATCCCACAGAGCATCAACACAGGCAACAAATTTATGTCCCCAACCCTCAACAGCAGCTGAGCTCACCTCATTCCCACACAGGCTGATGTTAAAGAAGTGGAAGAACTTGGTCCCTCGGGAGGTGAAGCTGGGTCCACTCATCAATGAGCCCACCTGGCTGAGGTTGCTAAAATCATAATTCAGGCTCTGGTTATCCTTGATGTACGACACCAGGCAGTCACTGAAGCAGGCAGAGTGGTCCTTCAGAGAAGGAGAGGCATCTATTAAAGAGCAGTTTTAGGCCAGCAGCAAACCATTCACCTGGGGGCTAAAGCAAGCAGGTGCAGACAGGACTGCTTTCCTTGTTAGGACTGGAAGGGAACTTTGTCCCATTCCTGTAATTCACCTTTCCCTTGGGAGATTTCCCATTCCTGTTTCAGTCCCTTGCAATCCCATATCAGGACATTAATGTTCCCTAAGCCTTGCTTTTCTGCTCTCCACTGCATTAGCCAAGAAAATGCAGTTTCTTGCTTTGTTTTGTTGTGGGTGATTTTATGATCCCAATGTCCCAGCTTAAAGCTCTGTAGATAGACCAGAACATGGCTTCAGTTACACTTGCATCTTGCAAAAGAAACACAAGAAACAGCTGAAGAAAGAGGGACAGGATATGAACCCAGCTGAATAGAGTCAGAATGTGAACAAACTGTAGCAGCTCTTCTAAGACCCTGTGCAGCTTCTTGCCAAAGGACGCTGCTCATGACAAATGTTCATCCAGGCTTAAGGGCAATTTCATATAAGAGGAACTTGTTACAGGTTTCTAAAGGCACAGAAACATCCACCTGAGGAAGTCCCTCAGTTTAAAACAGCAG